TAATAAGGATAGGGAAATATATATATATATAACACATAACACTTGTCATCCCCTCTAATGTCTGACTCATCGAGACAACCAATCATTGACATTCTCGCCCACACATCATAGCTTTGATGGAGTCTCTTTCGTCACAGAATGCTTAGCATTTCTATATTGAAGTAGAAATGTATCTACTCCCCTCTCCAGTTCATTAAATGTCGAAGCAGCAATAGAATCAATACAGATTTTCAATGTTCTTACGAAATTTTCTGCCTGACCATTAGAACAAGGGTGCCTGGGAGTCGTAAACAGATGTCTGTACCCTATACCATTCAACCAATTAGTGACTGCATCCGCAGCAAAATGAGAGCCATTATCAGTGACTAACACCATGGGAACTCCTTCTCGACTAAACACCTTCCTTAATGCTTGGATTGTGAAGTCAGAATTTGGTGAAGTTGTGAAAAAAACTTCAGGCCACTTAGAAAAAGAATCAACAACTACAAGTGCATAGTACTTGCCAAGAAATGGACCACAGTAGTCTGCATGAATTCTCTGCCACGCCTCAGACGATACTGGCCATGGAGTCCACTTCGAATGCAGACTTTTTAGCTTATGATATTTCTCACAATTGTTTGCTGTAAGACATATATCTGCATTTATCTCTGGCCACCAACATGTGAATCTTGCCAAGTACTTCATTTTCTCAACACCTAGATGTCCACTATGAAGATCATCAAGGACAGGTTTGCGTAATGAAGGAGGAATAACAACACGATCATTTAAACACAAAATACCGTCAGAATTAGTAGATAACTCGTCCCGCTTTGAATAATAGACAGGAAATCTACTTTTCAGATTAGCATTCCAACCCTTCCGTATAGCACTGAGTATACATCCAAAGTATCTACGAGTTTCTCTAATAAGATCTGGACGTCTCACCGGTAAATGTTGCACTAACAAGCAGTCTGAAGTATTAACAGGTCTATCTTGTAATGGTTGTCGAGAAATGTAATCAACGTGTTGAATTTGTTTTGCACTCCTGTGCTGAATCGTATAGTCATAAGCACTCAAAGCAATACTCCATCGTTGAACCATAGCAGCTGAGGAACGTGCTAAGGATTTGTCAGGATGATAAATGAACTTTAAGGCTTCATGATCAGTAACAATGGTAAACTTCTTTCCAAATAAATATTTATGAAGTCTTTTAACAGCCCAAAACACAGCTAACGCTTCTCGCTGCGTTTGTGAATAACCTTGTTCAGAAACAGAAAGTTTGCGTGAAACACATATAACTGGCCTACCTTCCTGTTCCAAAACTGCACCAATACCCACAGGTGATGCATCAGTAATAAGAACAGAATGTACACTGAGTGAGTAAGTTCGAAGAACAGCATCACTTTGAAGAAACTTTAGCAGATTTCGTAGGCATGACTCTTGTTCTTCACCCCATTTGAATGAATTGGATGTCAAAATATTAAATAAACAGTTGGCACGACAAGAAAAATTAGGAATAAAACGAGAATAGTACTGAAGAGCACCCATTAGTGAACGTAATTCTGTGATATTTTTGGAGACGGTGCATTTGTCAGTGGAGCTAGTCGTTTCATATCTGGTCTAAAACCATTACCATCAACTAGGTATCCAAGGCATTCAAAACTAGATACACTAAATGAACATTTATTTGGGTTCACTGTAATATTCTTCTCAATTAAACGACGCAATAAAGCAATAAGTCTCTGGTCATGAACTACTTTATCAGCACCATGAACAATGAGATCATCTTGATAAACTTCAACACCTTCAATATCGCTGACTATCTTATTTATGACCTCTTGAAATATGGCTGGAGAACAACTAAGACCAAATGGAAGGAAGTTGTATTTGAACAGACCAAAAGGAGTGTTAATTGTTGTCAAAATAGATGAAGATTGATTTGAAGGGACTTGAAGATAAGCATCTTCGAAGTCTAATTTCGAAAACACTGTAGAACCATGAAGTCGATTTAGAATATCTTCAGCCTCCATCGTCGTGCATGTTTGCTTCAACAAACGGGAGTTCAGTGTTAATCTGTAATCACCGCATATTCTAGGGGTCTTGCCATCCGACTTCAATGGCGTAACAATAGGAGTACCCCATGCTGAAGATTGAACTGGTTCAATTATACCTTTCGCACACAAATCGTTCAGTGACTTATGTACTGCTTCTCGAAGACCATAAAGAATTATTCGTCTTTTAAGAAAGACTGGATCACCCTGTACTTGAAGTTTTATGGGCAATTCCACTTTAAGCCTTTTCAGATTTTTTAAACCCAGTATGGACAGTCCTGTTTTGCTAACTAAAAATTCACAAGGTACGTATGAAGAATTATCATTTCTTACTAGCAGTTTACAACATCCTCGTATAGGCAGTCTGTGTCCAGTAATTCCCAGTATTGAGACCTCAGTGGGTTTTACCACAACATTAGGATCTAAAGATTTCAAGTTCTTGAATGAAATAATGGACTCTATACTATCTGTGTCCACAATAAAGTCGTGAAATGAACCAAAGGATGTATATAATCGCTTTTGAATATGAACATTCCCTTTTGAAGTAGTGGATAAAGATAAATGATCATTAGAAACAGCCGAATTATCGAGATCTAAGTTACCAGACTTAGTAATACTTGAAGCAAAGTGAACAGTAGTTTTGCACACTGACTGAATGTGTCCTATCTTGACACATTTAAAACATTTAGCATTACGAAATGCACATGAATTACGAGAATGAAATTTGCCACAAGATAAGCATTTACGAAACTTATTCTCACTTTCATTGTTTGCTTTGTAGTCCCTTGTTAAACCACCTTTCATATTTCCACGAGAATAGAAATCACGATTAAACGAACGCAAATTTAATCGACCCTGAGATTGTATTTCATCATGACGACTAAGCAAAGTATTAGAAATTTTCATCGATTGAATATCAAGTTTATTCACTGCTTCGTAGTTAATACACGCAGTTCTAGAATCTTGAAAAGAACAGTTCGGCATTCTTAAAAGCTCCTTTTCCAGACCTGGTATGTTAATTTCAGCAATTAATCAATCTCTTAGCTGTACATGAAGTTGATCACCAAAATTGCATTTCGCAGCTTGTCTTTGCAATTCAGGGATGAAGTCCTTAACCTTCTGGTTATCCTGACGAATCATCTTATGAAATTTTGCTCTCTCACGACATTCAAAACTGGTGCACTTCACATGATTTAATAGTAATTCCTTGAGAGTTGAATATGGAAGTGCGATCGGCTTATCTGGATATGCCAAGGTTTTTAGTAAACTGTAGGCTTCTTGACAGATGAATGTAAGAAAATGTGCCACAATTTTGTCACCCTTCATATCTTTCTTGGTCATGCTCCATATCTCAAACCTTTCAAGGTAATCCTCAAAAGCTTCAGAAGTTGAATGAATGTCCAACTGTTGTATCGCAGGCTGCATCGCGACGCCAATATGATAATCAGAAGTATTTGAATTGTAGTATAAACTAGTAATCTCAGTAATAACTCAATGTAATCAAGAAGTATTAGATGAGCCCGAACGAATGTATTGTATTTGGAATTCAAAATTACAAGTCATTGATTTATTTAAACATCACAGAATACCATTATGTACTCTGATATTCTATTTATTTACATCGATTATTAGTTGTCTGGAAGCGATCACATCATTGCCCATTTAAAATAAAGATGTAAAAAGTGTAAACTTTGAATTGTCGAGTCATGAAGTCTATACATCGTTCTCGTTCAGTAGTTTTAACATTACACACTTTGGCGCCGACATCTCTAAAATAGTAGCTCCGGATGTGGCTTACGATGAGTCCAGTAATTCTACATTTCTCAGTTAGAGCAGGCGTGAGTACTAAAATTACTTGTTCCTACCACTGATATTTAGACAAATGTAGTCAATCATGCTAACAAATTACTTCCATGGTTAAAGAACGGATATAAAAATAGGCTTTCCGATCACACCCTATATAGTGAATTAGAACACAGGTGAGAACAACCGATTAAATATTTAGCATAAAATCACAGTTATTTGATAAAATAGAAAAAACCATACTCTGATACCTTATTTGCAAAATGACCAATGATTGTTTCAGACTTCATTGTTCTTGCATATCCATACCAATTGTTCTATGTTTCCGCTCTTCCCTTCTCGATGTCTGCTGCCAGATATCTTATTCCTGACTCACAACATATACTACTAATATCAACATAAGTAGCTCACGCCACACTTATACATAAAATCAAATATAGGTCTTCCAAGAGGTATAGATAGACAAAGAACTTTTAGACAAAGACGTTTCTGTTCGGTGATCTACTAGTATCATGAATTGTCAAACTGTGGATATTTCGTATAATCAACACGTTAAAGATAAATAACTGAGATCAGTATTAAGGAAACCTATAGTACAAAATGCAGAAACTTAACTAGACTTACAACTGTTAACTTCTCAATCCGGTCACATTTACCCCTTACAAAAAATTAAACGGAGCCATGAAATGACTGTCCAGGTCAATTAATTCTGGTTGAATTATTTTTAAGTAAAGACGCATTTGTTGTTCAATCTACTTCATTTTTTATTTAGTTATTTACAGTAAGGATGTATAGGACCTATTAACCATGAATAGAATCAAGTCTAACCATACTTGATAAAAAACTAAAAATTCACCTGTTAGGGTCTATTTATAGATCAGAAGGGGGGTTTTGTGGAGAATTTAGTATTTTCATGGTTGAAATCATGAGTCAATTGAAGCTAGACCACCATGGAAAACCTGGAAGCATTGGATGGCCGTTTCGTCCTATTATGGGACTCCTGGATCGTGTATGTGCACTGCCGAGGAGTCCTATTATATGACGAAACGGCCGTCTAGTGCTTCCAGGTTTTCCATGGTGGTCTAGCTTCAATTGATTCATGATTTCAACTATGAAGAGTTTATTTAGACAAAAAAATAGTACCCATGACATTTCAAGAAGTATCTTTTCCTTGAACCCATTTTTATTCCAAAGTGATATTCATAAGAATAGAAATACACATATAAGTATACAAAAAAGAATCAATTTGAACCCCCCCCCCAAAAAAAAATTAGATAAAGATAGATTATAAATATTCATTAATTTCTTTATAACATGAAGGAATCTTCTGATGAATCCATAATACTATTACATAATTCCATTGTCCAATCACATATCTACTTGTAATATTCAATAAAAAGGTATACACTATTCATTTGGTAAGATAAAATACAAAAAAACGATCAAAGAAAGAAACTAAAGAGCTGAAGTTTAAATTTTTACAGACTATAAATGTTACATAATGTAAACTGTTTTTTATGGCTTCAATCAGATATAAAATGAAGTTCACAATGATAAACAACAACTAAAAAACATATTGAATCGGGAATAAAAACCACACTTTCAAATACATTCTAACAAATAATGAGATACTATGAAAATGTTTTTATGTACATTTATGAGATTCATGGAGGCCATGAAGGTGGCATAGTTTCAGGATTTGATAAACTTAAAGATTGTGGTAATGATCGACGACTTAAACGTACAATCCAATCTAATATTCTCATTTGAATACGTATTATTTGTGCATTTGTTGTTCGAATAAATGCTGGAACACCTATACGTTCTAAAGTTAATTGTTGTTCAACAACACGTCCATCTAATGAATCCAATATTCTTAATGATAGATTACGTAAAGCATCTGTTTGATTTTTCATTAAACGCTGAATAAAACAAAGTTTAAAAAAAAAAGTATTTTGAACATTCTCAATTATTATTAAACATTCACTGACTAAGAAGGTAAAAACAATTCATGTATATTAAATGAAACTAGTTAATCAGTTATAAGAGAGTGGAAAGATCCTTCATATATATGTCACCTTACTTGTAACTTGTACGTTGTCTTTTTGCAAATACAAAGATGATTCATACTCAGACAGTTGAAGCAGGTCCTTTAAGGCCTCATCCATCTACGCCCCCCCCATTAGCTTTCCATATTCATTACACTTTTATTGTTAGTCTGTGGTCAGTGTTCATGTTTAAAATATATGAATCTTGAAGACATTTCTTACTCACCTTTTTATAAAGGTGTATTAAAGTGATCGGTCGAGAGAGTAGATCATCGTTATTAGACAGGAATCAATGCGCGGCTTTAAAAGTACACATTTCTAAGATTTGACACAAAAAAAATCTTGATAATTTTTCAAGTCAATACAAACATGAATTTATTTGTTTATTTGAACACATAAATATTAGTACAAAGAGGCACCAGATATATATGCAACACACAAATCTCATTTGATTTGGGTGAGGGTTGTGATACTGCTCAGGTGCCCAAACCGATGCAGGTGGTTTTCTCAGGGGGCCACACCCAGAGCCTTTGACCTGAATGTCTGATCCACAAGGCAGTGGAGGATCGTAAGGAGATACAGTCCCATGGTAGTCGGTGACCGAAGATTGATTCATACGCCATTTGTTCCCTCAGGATACTGGAGTCCATGTGCACCATTGGTTTGGAATGAAGGTTTTCCAACTTCGCTAGATGAACTTTCCGTGTCCACCAACCCGCTCAAAGCGCCGGACATTCCCATTTCGTCCTCTCAATTTCGTAAATAACACCCCGGTCACGAGAAGTCAGTGAGTAGGACTTTCCTGGCAGAGGCTAAATACGCGTGTCCATGTGAGAGCATTCCGAGAGGGAGAGCGGGCTCTCCCCACTCTCGGCCGTACCAGGGCATTTGGGGACATACAAACATGAAACAAATCTTAAAAGGCGATAAGAACATCTAAAAACATAATGTAAAAACACAAACAAAATGGAGTAATTTACGTGCATTTCTTGTTCATGTTCTTTTTGTAACACCGGTAGATGATGTGGTCGAGATGCATTCATAGATATTTCTTCTCTATGTTTTCGTCTTAAAGTAGATCGACAAGCTAATGTTGAATACAAAAAGAAGATATTCATTTTCAAACAAGCAGAAAATGTACAACTATAAAAAATGTTCATCTTTAGTTATGCCAACTATAAAAAGAGAATTATCAAATGGAAATGACTACTGTTCTCATTTGCCAATTTTCGAGTAAGAATACACAAAAATGGGGGGGGAGAAAGAAGAGTAATTAACAAGATTGGAAATAAGGAAATGCAAATTACATTGCAAAAGATTGTAAAAACGTTAAAGTGTTACGTCCTCTACTTCATTACGGTAGAATACGGTATACAACTAACGGCACTCAAACGTGTAGAACCCAACAGTCGCAAATCAGAAGACGGAAAAAGCAAGGGGGGTGATTATTAGGCAAGAATCAAGGATGTACATAAAAACGGGGATACTTAGAGTTTTTAGTAACATCATTATAATTTGGTCCATCCGCAAGGAGGTAAGTTATGCTATTGTTCAATCGTAGAATGCCACGTTGACATTCTAGAAGGCTCTACCAGGTCCTTTAAAGCCTCTTCGTGCTTTTCGAAGTCATCCTAACACAAACAACTTTACAACTGATTAGCCAGTGAATAGAGATAAATGTAATGTTTATCTAATCCTTTCATGCTGATTAGAATTTAATGGTCAACTAACGATGTGGTCACTAATCTGAGAAACTCGACATTATATGCACCATATCGAGGTTTTGATTGTTCGGAAACAGTAGACAAAGAGCAATGGGATTGATATTTTGTTGGTTAACATTAGATTAAAAAATGTACTTGGAATCTTCAAGGCACTGATGTTTCTGGTGGATTCGAACGGAGATCACCCGGTCTGAGACACACTGAGCTAATCTGACAGCGACCAATCTCCTATTGAACTGAAATATTATTATTATAACTATAAACGTTAAAAACATATAATACTTAGCTGCTTCCATAATCTAACTATTCAAGATATTTCAAGGATTTCAGTAAACAAGCTAGAAATTTAAATTCATTGAGTATTGTTTGTTTGAATCTTCCCATCGATTTGTTAGGACTGCAGCTGGTTAGTCTCTAATTGGCATATGTGCATACTGTGCGTATTGCCTCGATATAGCCTTAATTCACAAGCATTATAAGGAAAGATGGATAGTGGCTAGCAGTGGAATCCAGGACTCGCACAAGAAAGTGGCTATCAGGACTCAGTGGCCGAGTGGATAACACGATGGCGTTTGAAGCGAAAGGTATTGGGTTCGAGTCCCAGGGGGAACATCAACTCTGAGATGCAGGTACATCCAGCTGACAAGTCCCAAATAGGAAGAAACGCGCATCCTGGATTCCACTGCTAGTCACTATCCATCTCTGCTTACCAAGCTAGAAATTGTTCTTTATATACAGTAAACAGCCATAGACTAAGTCAATCCATGTATCAACGAGAATGAAAATTACGTTAAAGACATTTGAAAAAAAAAGTTAAATGAAGGCATTAAAATTATAGAATAATTGATCAAAACGACAGAAACTGACCAGATTGTTCAGAACGTAAATCAATTAATTGTTTATGCAATATTTGTTCTTCTACACGTTGACTATTGACTAATTCAGAAACTGTTGGAAATATTTTACCCTCTGCTAATATATGCGCCAATTGTGTGATCATATCTTCTGAAATTCCTGTTTGAATATCACTAGAGTGTGACAAAAAAAATGAAAATTTCAGGAAAAACATTGATTTAGCTATCACATGATAAAACATACCATCCAAGAGTAGACGAAGTGGTGAACTAGGCATTCAGTTACAATGTTATTGAGTGAATAAACGATATTTCAACCTGGAACTTATTAGCTGAAAATCAGTTTTCATGAAAAAAGTGTTGAAAATAAAGATTAACACTGTTGTCCATTACAGAAAACCTTTATTTCATGCGACAAACGAAAATGTCGCTGAGGAGTCACATATTGGGACGACACAGCTGTCCGTGCTTCCAGGTTTCAAACAGTTGTCTACCTTAGCTCAGTTCTCAATTTTTATAAAATAAGAAAACAATAGATAACTCACACACTGACTTGTGTTTTAAACTTTAAACAACTGTTGAGCTATAGTCAGTCGATTTAATAAGTCAGCGTGTGAAAAATAATTAGTAACACAGAAACTGATTGTAATGGCAAATATATTTTAAACATTGTAAGACAATAATTGATAATCTTAATGAATATTAGAAATCTCTGGTAACAATAATTAACTGGAATACTATAATTCCACAACAAATCATTCCCAGTTCCGATGCACATTTTAGTGGTGCCGTGATCTCTGTAAGATTGGCTCGTATGTTTGAAAACTGCGTTGTTTATCGATTGAGTAAGCTACGTTGAGTTCGTTCGTCGAAAGTATAGAGTGTGAAAGGTTCGTCATCGACGTAGTTCGCTGCGTTAGGTTTGTCGCCGGGCTCACCACTTTTAGGTGGCACGGTATTTGACACTAATTCGATCATACAATGATTGTAACCAAAATATACATGCTGCCAACCCTCAAATATAACTATCGACTTAAATCGCGTTAGTAAATAACGGAATAAGATAAGTCATATACGAGAGTTAAGTTTGAATACGTATATTCCATACAATCGTTGATATGAACAGATAGAGAGATGAAGTAAATGAAACCAAACGACGTGAAGTGGAGAAGGCATGTGAACCAACTCCATTTTACCAAGCGTGAATCGATATTCATAATTGAACAAAAATAAGTTACAGACACATGATGACTAAGATAAGTAATTAACACATATACGATTATATAAAAAAAGTCGGGTTTAATAAACGAATAAGTGACAGGGTAGAAATATGGCTTGACAAGAATGAATAGATTGGTCTGTTCAGAGGCTAGAATAATCTATGTGGGCTTGACATAGTACTGTAGTGTGGTCTACTTATATCCATATAAGTAGTATATGGCGATGGTCAGACATAGAATGTATTTTGGCAGAAGACCGATAAGGAAAGAACTGAAATGAAGCGTAATTGGTAGGAAAATGCATGAACAATGGAATTAGAGAAGATGAACTGATATTTACAGAAGAAACAGTGAAGATTGAGACCATTGGTTGTTAATTTGCAAATTTACTGTTTGTTGTATGTTTATCAGAATTTAGTGAAATAGTCTGCAATTTGTGTCTAAATACACTCGATTGTCCCAACCGGTGTTTTGTTCAATACAGTACCAGCTCCTACACCATCTTACACAAAAAAAGAAAACAAAATATAAAAAAATCATATTCTATCGCGAGTCCACCGTACTAACGAATCCAAAATATGATGAAATTAATCAAGTATTAATTTTATACTCTAATCATATTAACTTATGTAATAACTGAAATTTTAAAGGGTTTTTATATTCGTCAAAAGTAGTGAACACCAAGAAATCAAACTTACAAAGGAGCTTGTTGAACAAACATACGTAATTCATTCAAATAATAATAAATTTTTTGCTGAAAATATTCTCTATCAACATGATTATCGCTTAAATTACTGTTAGTCTGAGTTAAATAATTTGAATTGGATACATCTGATGAATAATATGATGATGGTGATGATGATGACGATGATGCTGGTTGAAAGCTCATGATGATATGACAATATTTTTAGACTCCTAGATAGACAAAAAATGAAGGAACAGTAATACAGGAAACAAATTAGGAAGATTTGAAAACCCTATTCGATATAATAATTAAAGTAAATTTTCAGTCAATAGAAGGGGATCTTATATTGAATGATAAGGTGCCTATGAATTCAGTTCGTTAAACTAATATAATGTAGCGAATAAGTAGCTTAGTGGTTTAAGCGTTCAGTTTACAAACAACTGAATGAAGGTTTAAACCCTGCTTTACTCATTTTAGTTTATGGCAGTAAAGTAGTGTAACCAGTCATTATACAAATAGTTTTGTAAAATATCGAATACATAAACACCTTCACATGGTAGATACGTTACAATAAAAAAGGTAAAAACAATAATCTTGTTGAATGGGTTGTGTTCTCTGAGTAAAACGGATTAGTTTAGCTCAGACACAATAACACCTCCAGCGGACTCATTCATCACCAGGTAGTAATCTTGAACATAAACATTACGCTCTGTTCTCAGTCACTGAATGGTAAACAATGAATTTTCGCTTCGACATTGAGACTTTAGACAAAAAAAATCTAAATGTCGAGAATCTAATAGACAGAAATGAAAGAAAATGCTGCGATAACCAGTTAGTTTAACTTAACATAACTAAGTAATCAAATTTACGTTCGTTTACCTCTAATTTAACTAAGTTTTTAATTTTTGTGTGAAAGGTAGTGAGCGATATTAACCTTATGACTACAACGATGTAAGACAAGTGTGAATCGAAATCACAAGTGCACAATGAATAATATAAACAGGTCAGAAACCTCCCTACCCACTTCGGGGTTAGGGTAGCTGGGTAGTACTAATAACTCTCATAGTTTAAGTATGACTAAAAGCTGGATACATGAAACCGTACTTCGTTAATGAGTTATGACACCTGGTGCTTCTATATACAATTGAATGCTTAACGTTAAAGGATACTTTGTCTACACAACTTAAGGTCTTATTATATACTTAATGATAGATTCACGATTTTGAAAAGTTTTTGAGAACGTAAATATTGGTTAAAAAAACGACAAATATACATCAGTTTTTGCTTAACAACTGAGGAAGTATTTCAATTTGGGAGAGGATTTCAACATATCTTCAACTATACTAGAACATAATGTAAACCAATGGAATTATGAGACAGTAGAGTATGAATTTTAAAATTCATTAGTTATAATCAGTGCCGATTATTTGACTCCAATATGAATAGTATTCAGGATATGTGTATTTCAGACATGTTAATATTAAACGACAGACAGCCAAACCAAAGAATCTAGAGACTGTATAAAACATTGAAGTTCGGTATAAACGTACTCAGAGAGTAACAAAGTGATCCACATGTAAGAAATACAGAAAGTGGATAGGTAAAAACGTACTTGATTAAGATTACATGTGAGTAATTGATGAAGACAGATATGTGGGCGACAGAATAAATGGAAAGATTAGAATAATTCATCGGTTATAAAGTAAGGACATATCACCTAGTTAGGTGTATAACAATACTAAAAGCTACAAATACAAAAAGTTTTCATATAATTAATAGAGTAAGGTTAATAATCCTTTTCAAAGTAAAAGTATAATATCTGGCATTTTTCCGTTCATTTGGTGAGTATTATATAAAAGTGTAATTTTCACTGCGAACTTCATTTTAATCAATGAAGTGAATTCTAACTTGTTGGATGAAAAAAATAAGGTGAAATTTAAGGCTTGAAATAAAAACCTCAGCGAAAATGGTGATCTTATATGCACATCTACCTACTAAATAAACGACTAAATGTTAGATATTGCCTACATATTAAATAATGAAATGCAGGTGTATTACAAATACACTGACACGTACGCAATCGACGATGAATAAAACTTTTATGTACATTTTTATAGGTCGTTTGAATCTTCTCATTGATAATGAGGTCTCCAATTAATCCGTCTCTTTTTGGAAAAGGTGTATCCTGTGCAGATTGCCTCTCAAGCATTATAAGCTGATATGTATGACGGCTAACAATTAAATCTACGACAAGCGTCTCGTTTTAATTCAGACTAGTCAGATGGATATACCTGCATCTTGAAATTGATTTTCACACCGCGACTCAACTGCAGTCCCCAACATCAATGGGAAAATCCAAACAATCGATTAAAATAAATTAAAATTCACCTTAATAAACAAGCCAGTGGCTAACTGGACTCAGTAGCTGGTGGCATTTGCAGGATGGCATTTGCAGGAAACGGTACTTGTTTCAAGTCTTGAATTGAACACCTACTCTGGGATACAGATAAATCCCAGATGATAAGTCTCAAATAAGATGAGGCGCGCATCCTACATTCCACTACTAGCCATCGTCCATTTCTGTTTATGAAACGTTGATGGTTCAATGTAATGAAATACAATTCTGAAAATTCCGGAAGTAATTTTTTCTATCCAACCTTAGTCTAGTCAGTGGTTTAACATTATTGCATAATATGTACTGATACAATTCAAAAATAAATAAACGTATAAATCTTGTCAACAGCATTATGTAAATTTATGTAAAATAAGGTAAGCGACGATAACAATACTATCAGAGTATCAAATAGATATACATAAATCGATATGCATTAATTAATTATCTCGTCAGTATTTTTCTAAATTAAAAGGAATATATACTAACTATTTAAAGAATATAATAATCTTATTGCTAATTCCAGCTAATGAATTACAAAGATGGAATCTCTATTAAAACTATCCACCTGAGCTACAAATCTTCTCTACTTATTCAGTGAAAACAATACTCAAGTTACTAATGATGTATTACACGTTCATTAACAACTATCTATTTTGGGACTCCATATCCACGATCACACCTCGAGAGATTCCAGCCCAGGATCTATCAGTCTCGCGCGCGAACGCTTAACCACGAAACCACTGGGCCGGCATCCAACAATGTTAATGTCTAACTTCAACCAATTCACGCAATTGAGCGACACATTCACCATTGTCTTCAGTGGGCTACTATCTCACAACAGACCCAGTTGAACTCCACTGGTCACTGCATCTCACTAGAACTCCAGGAAATACCTCTTAAAGCAAGCCACTAGTGAGCAGATTTTCCATGGTTGTCTAGTTTCGATTGACTCATGGATTCATTTATTTTAAAAAAACTATCTATTTATCAATTCAAAATGTATGTATCTAATTTATGCATAGAATGGGTACAGTATTCAATTATATTAGTTAAGTTATTGCACTAAACTCTAGAATTAAGAAAGGATTAATTGACTTCAATTGTTATTTGTATTTCAAAACAATTAAGTTTATAATTAAAGTAGGGAAAACGATAACAAATATGATAGAATGATAAAAGTTCGTTTATTTCTGTTTCTTATAACATATAAAGAAATGTAGCAATTTTATATACATAGTTGTAATCATGAGTCAGTTGAAGCTAGACCACCATGGAAAACCTGAAAGCACTGGACGGCCGTAGTAGTAATTTATTATTTATTTAAACACATAAATATTGGTACAATGAAGCACCAGATATATATGCGCCACACAAATCTCATTTGATTGTTTGTGTACTGTGATACTGCCCAGGTGCACAGACCGGAGAAGGTGGTTTTCTTAGGGGGCCACACCCCCAGCGTTTGACCTATAAGTCTGATACACAAGGCAGTGGAGCAACATGTGGAGATGCAGTCCCATGGTAGCACGTGACCAACGATTGATTCATATGCCATCTGTTCCTTCAGGAAACTGGAGCCCATGTGCACCATTGGTTTGGAATCAGGGTTTCCCAACTTCCCTAGATGAACTTTCCGTGTCCACCAACTCGGTTAAAGCTCCGGAAATTCGCTTTTCGTTCTCTCACTTTCGTAAACGACACCCCAGCCCCAAGAAGGCAGTGAGTAGGACTTGCGTGTCAGAGGCCATGTGAAGGCTTTTCGAGAGGGAGAGCGGACTCTCGGCCGTACCAGGGCATTTGGGGGAGTAGTAATTATTTGGAACTAATATTGTACTACTGAAAATCAATGAAATAATGGTAATAAACATGAAAAAATCTTTTTGTTTCAAAAGGTTGTAGTGATTAAATATTTTTATTTTTATAATCTCTAGAATATGAAAATTGACATCAAAGGTTACGTGATAATGACTATGTCAAGAAATGGAATGAAAATTAAAGTAACTAGGGTAGAGTACACGAGATTAACATAACTGTATCCTTCTAGATGTACAGGTTCGGTTCAAAAAAGGATTAAATTTTAAATTTTATACTATCCTAGTGAGATTAATTTTCAAAACTTAATTGGATCATTTTTGAGTCTTTTTTTTCAGATTTACTAATTTCACCCTGGTAATTCATCCACTTGCATAGACACCAGCTATAAGTTTTTAGAAACTTTTCTTCCTGTGTAAAACATTAAAATACAAGGGCATAAAGAAATATTGGTTGCTCAGTGCAACGCTCTAACTGAAACATAATCAAATTGGTACGATTAAAATTGTCAAATGTGTTTTCAAAATGACTAGAACCCGTGTATTCATTACTAGCAGTTGAAGCTGGAAAGATAAATCAACACTATTATAGATTATTACTATCTGGAAAACAGCCCCCAAATGCTCTGGTACGGCCGAGAGTGAGGAGAGTCCGCTCTCCCTGTCCAAATGCCCCCACATGGCCACGCAAATATATAGCCTCTGACACGCAAGTCCTACTGACTGACTTCTCGCACCAGGGTGTTGTTTATGAAAGTGAGAGGACGAAAAGCGAATATCCGGCATTTCAACCGGATTGATGGACACTGAATGTCCATCTAGGGGAGTTGGAAAACCCTGATTCTAAACCAATGGTGCACATGGGCTCCAGTATCCTCACGGAACAAATGGCGTATGAATCAATCGTTGGTCACAACCGACCACAGGACTGCATCTCCACACGTTGCTCCACTGCCTTGTGTATCAGACTTATAGGTCAAAGGCTCCGGGTGTAGTCC